GGCAATTTTACTCTAAAATAACATATAAAATACTCCCAGAAAACAAATGGGCTCATTGAAATACTTAAATTTAAAGAATAATTAAATTAATTTGAAAATTTCTGTTCTCATAATTTTAATGGTAAGTGATGATAGGGTCATAAGCAACAATTATTTTAATCATTGTTTATTTATCTATTAAAATGATTAAAATAATTTTAGTATTTAAGTAAAACTTTACCATAATGAGTTTTTTTCAGTTTATTACTATTAAAAATTCAACATGGCCCCAAGAAGTCCTTTGTTCTCGAAACGCATAGACAAAAATAATTTTTTTTCTGTGAGACGCATAGATAAAAATAAATATTGTATTTTTCTATGTCGAGACGTCATTCTTGTTCTCGAGTTCTCTAGTAACCACGTCTTAGATGTTTCGTCAATCATCTGACAGATGTCCATTTTTGTATAACTCATCAAGTTGTCTTATTTTTTTATTTCAATTAATTCTCTATTATCATTTTTTTTTTGGGTTTAATATATTCGATGTTCTTTAAATACACTTACCATTTTTTCACAAAATATTTAGTATGTGAGAAGAAAAATTTACACTGGTTTCATTAGTTAGCGACCTCTACATGTCAGTAGAGTAAGAGAGGCACATTATTCGTTAGGAAAAATATGCCCCTTCAGCACATCAATATAATAATTAATAATTAATACCTATTGGCCGAATGTGCTTTTCCCACTAAAAATGATACTTTTTAGGTGATTAAAAATAACGTTTCTAAATATAATTTTTTTTATTACAGGTATTTCAAGTGATATTTTAAGCGTAGGAAAGATCACTGAAGTGCCACGTTGTTAATAACGTAATAATTGTGTATTTGCAAAATTAACTAAAATGTGACAAGGCAGTAACTTCATGTAAAATTAAATCTTTTAGAACCATGTTTTTATAACGTAATGCATTTGGAGTTACATAAACCACTGAAATGCGAGTGGCTGTGATGTTATATCATTATTTGTGTTTAGTGGGTAGCGTCTTATTCCGCACGTCCCGTCACTAAAGTGGTTTCTCTTACTATATCACCTATAGCATACTCGTATGTTGTTATAAGCAGTTCATACGAGGTTACTGTACATAAATCCGCCATTTTTTTCTAGACCAGCTCATGGACGATCATCGTACCGCCATTTTTTCTAGACCAGCTCATGGACGATCGTTAGTACATACTGTTGTCCGCCATTGTGACAAAAATTAAAGTGAAAATGCGAATTTAGGAAATTTTGGTCATTATTCTAACTACATGCAACTTTTAATTATTTATATCCTCTAAAGTAATCACACCATTTTGTGTTGACAGTTAAATCACTTAAATTTGTGTATTAATGAAAAAAAACATTTTTTTTTCTAAAAATTCATCAGTTTGACGGTGCGCTTGGGTCTTCAGCCTACAATGTCCATCTTTTACAACGTACGCGTTGACGAAATTTGGTACTATAAAGCTCTTAAAATCTACCGAAAACATCACAGTAAAACACAGAAAATCTACTTTCCATTGTTCTAAGCATAAATTTAGTATAGTTCTAAATTCTAAGTTTAGGTGGGAACGGCAGAGCTGTGGTGTTGATTCCAGTTAACTAAATTAATTATCAGGAAGTTCACTTGCACTAAATGCACCTAAAAGCCATGCACATGCATCCTCTTGTTTACAAAATGTACAATTTGAGTGGTTATTTTAACTTTAATATTGAAACATTAAATGGACGGAACAAACAAGAGATTGTTTCAATTTCCTTGAAACAACGAAGGCGACGTTAATACAACTATTAAACAGACGTTACATTGTTATAAAAAAGTCTCTTATTTAACGTTCATAAGAGGATATTTTGCATAGTGGGTACTCTTGTTTAAAGTCACTAAAACGCACCCTTTTCAAGTTATTTTGTCTGCCCCATGCTCTATATATTGAAATAAAAGACAGTGCAATATTTAAAATATTTACTTGTCTTGTAGGTATGGAAAGCATCGAACTTATTCCAGAAGGTACGATTAAACTATTTGGAAACGTTGATCTTGACCACATTTACAAGAGAGATGGAAAACTAGAAGGTTACGACGATGAACCAGTAGAAATTGCATCTGAAGACAGTTCAATTGAAGTGAAGCTGTATTCAAGAATTGGGCAAGCTGTAACGAAACTGAAGATAGACAAAAATGAAACCGTATTTAAAGCAATTAATTCGTTTGATGTTAAAAACGAAAATGATGAATCTATATTCACCATTATCGATCCAGTATTCACCTCGTTAAAAAGCGGCAAAAATCTCAAGTCTAAACGCATTCAAACCAATAAAATACGAAGTCCCAGTGACGAAAATTTGAAAATTGAAGGTGATAAATTGCATTTAAAAGGAGCGGAAGGTACAAAAATAGAAGGAAGAGAAATAGTATGGAGTGCTGATCAAGATATTTACTTAAGTAGCAACGGTTCAATCGTGCTCAATGGGACAGAAGGGGTTTTTATAGATGTTAAGAGAATACCGATAGCCAAATTAAATAGCAATAATTATATAAAAGGACAGTTCAAGGTATGCGTTTGTATACCAGGAGGAAAGTTGTTTAGAATACCCGTGGATAATCCTAATGATAGAGTGTACTGCCATCATGTCAATATGCAACAGAATCCTTGTATATAATGATTCTAATTTTCTAATAAAATTTTATTAGCTAGCTTAGTAAAAAATGGAATATAAATGTTTGTTTAGAACTTAGGTAATTTCTACAAACTTGATTTGAATTAATATAAACAGTCGATTTATATATTTAGTTTTATTTAAAAAATTTAACTACATTTTTTTTTAACCAAAGGTAGTATAACCCCTGTACCACTAAAAGTATCTCGAGGTGTCTTGTATACTGAAGGGAACTATACGTTTAGAAACAATGGGCACACATCCAATATTTGAGTATGCCAATTAAGTTCTGCTCAGAGCTGTGCTAACTACAAGAAAAGTACTTAAGTACAATTACAATTACTTTATGAAAAATGTATTTAAGTACAATCACAATTACTTGCCGAAAAATGTGTTTAAATACAATTACAATTAATAATTACATTTCAATCTAATAGGTAATTTTTTAACATTTTTCTAAAAATAAGGGAAGTTTTAAATTGTATAAATAACTAATGAATTTAATAATTTTTTAATTTGAAAAATTAAAAAGTCACTATACTGTGTTGTACAAATAATTTTATATATGTACCCTGGTATCAAAAATTATCTTGGTCAAAGGTGATCATGGAATGGAAAACTGCCATCTTAGGATATATCATCCTTTTGTAATAATTTTGTCAAAGTTTGTCAAGTTATGTCCCATACTTTTTTGACAATTTAAAAATGATTGACATGAATGTACGACACTAATTTCGACAATTATTTTATAATCCATTACCACCTTTAACCAAGATAATTTTTGATGTCACAGTAGGTATGTTAAATATTTATAGTCACCGAAATGTAACAATAAGGTTATGCAATGCTGCAATGTTTTGTTTAATGGCAGGATTATTTTTAATACACCTACTGATGTTATGTTGTAATGAATAAAGAATATATCTACAATAAGTAATGTGTTTTTCAAGTGTTATAAAAACCAGAAATAACAATCCAATATTAACATATTTGATTTAAAAAATTATAAACACTTTTTATTGTTTGACTAACTTTCACTTTGTTATTTTACAACTAGTTTCATCCTATTCGGACATTTTTAAGTAAACTAAATTATACACAGATTTAGTTTACTTGAAAATGTCCGAATAGGATGAAACTAGTTGTAAAATAACAAATAAAGTGAAAATTAGACAAGCAATAAAAAGTGTTTATAATTTTTTAAATCAAAATGGATTTTCACCAAGTAACTTCATCTTCAATCAACTTATTAACATATTTATTTCATTCCTGCAGAAGTACTACTAGATATAAATAAATAGAAAAAGTAATTGTAATAGGCGAGGGGACTGTAATCAAAATTACAAAAAGAAACATCATGGTATTATAGTAGAGACCTTTAATTCACTATAAATATTACTAAAATATAATTTTAGTAACCATATTTTGTTTAATTGTGAAATGAAAATGCTGGAAATGAGGATGTATTTCAAATGAAAGCAATCGGCGGTCTTATAATGACGTAACAGCGTAGATACGACGCGCGCATTCCAGGGTAGAAAACTAAACCAAGGTTATTATAGTGCAGGTGTTATAATTATTGATAATGTAAATTTGCGTAACTGTAACTTCACTAACATTTCCACAACCAGGTACAAAACACTTCTTTACAGACATTTAAGTTTCAAAATAATGTAATGATATACAAAACAACAAACAAAACATTAAGGTTAAATATTCAACTAGCTCCATTGCCAAATTTCTAAAAAAAGAAGCATGTCCCTGAAGTTTAATATCTGGCTTTTTAAAATAATTTCTTTTAACACAAATATAAACACAAAGCATGTAAGCATTCCCTATATTTAACCATCGATTAATGTCAAATGGTTTACTAATACTGAAATATAATACTATAATAAAGGATTGCTTTACATCAACACAATATTATCTTAATTATTTAGAAACATGGCAATGCAGCATGTTTCCTCGCTGAATCTGTGCTGTCTACGCTGTTACGTCACGGCGAATACTAGCCAATACAATTGGCTTGGGAAAATGCGGGGTATCTGACCGTTTAAAGAGCGCTTAAACTTTACGAATTTTTTTTAAGCATAAGACATTTAATAAAAAAAAAAAAATACGGGTCAATTATTTTAAACTGTAGATGTTATTAAAGTAATAAAAAAAATTGTCCCCTTGCCTATTGTGAAAGTGCTTATAACAATGAAAAATTATTAAGAGAAATATATTATACTAACTGTACTTAAGCATAATTACAATTACTTCGTATAAATATATTTCATAAGTACAGGCACAGCTCCATAATTCTGTTTTAGAAATATTCCCAGCTTCTTGACCGGGGTTTGAACCCTGGACTCCGGAGTGAGAGGCAAGTATCCTTCACCGCTGGATCACGAAGCTACATAACCCAGTATATAACGTAATTTATTTGAATGCCTCAATTGAAATATTTTGTGAAAATTAATCACAAAATATTAAAAATTGTACACAAAATATTAAAAATTGTACCTTTTTTTTCATTCATTTATTATGTCCCTTCTGGTGTGGTACCTACCAGAACGAAAAAAAAAATACAATTAATTGTTTATACACTATTATTAATTAAAGGTACAGTTGTCAAAACAACAATTTGTAAAATTAAACAAACGAGCAGATGAAGTATTTTTATCATTATGGCATAAAAAAGTATGATAAATACTCATGGGTTGCTTTTAGTTAAATGTTGCTATGACTGGTTATTTTCGCACGTGACTAGAAATAAGCACATTTTATTGGATTTCTATTCAGCAAAAAAATTATCATTACGATTTGCGCCCTCAAGTTAGCTGTTATCTCCCACTCCAAACGGCTCGGCACGCCACTGCATACAAAGATTTTTTCACATCGGTAGAGACATTACATTACTATTGATAAATTAATGTTTAGTAAAGGGGTGAAATATCTAGTAACACACAGGCAGATAATTAATTATATTATAAATTTATATAAAAATACATGTATGAGTCCCCATAGTAGGTACCTACATAACCAACAATAAATAGGTAAGTATTTTACTTACTAATAAAATAATTCAGAGCTTTTGAAAATGATTAAAAGTTTGTAACACACACGTTTATACTTTTGCAGATATTATTATAAAAATACTAAAAACAGGACTCAAGAGATTTTTAATATAGCCCATAGAAAAATATCTTCTATGATATAGTCAAAATGCATTTTATATGATTTGAATGAAACTATAAAGTTAGCACAGGCAACCCACAATACCAGTGTGTGCTGACTCAGTTGCATACACCAGATAATATACAAAACCTTAACCATAGTTAAATATCTGAGGGTTTATTTGTTAGGCGCCATTATGTTGCTATTGGAATAATCAATTATAATCAATCATTATACTCATTATCCACTTTTTTAACCAATAATATTATAGGCATGGGCATAGTAAACAAGTGGCTAAAGCACTTTAGCCATTTATTCGGTACGAAAAGTCGATGGTTCGATTTCATCCTGAAAATTTAATTTGTAATTTGTTTTGGACTGGAAGAGGAAATTGTCGATGCCCTAGATGTGGTTTGGACTTCACAATGCACTGTTAGGCCTCGTGTCTCTTTATCCAATACAAAATGCTAAGATTTTCAGGGAGTTACTTCAGTGATTTCAAAGGTGGTTAAGAAAACCTTTTTGACAGACATATCAAGTTTAATTCACAAAAAATTGAGGAATATGAATGAGAAAAAGACGATTTTCTTATTAATTCTAATTCATATATATATTTTTTAATTACTTATTTAACGTTGACTTATTTCTGCTACTAAGCCCAATCACCAAGGAGACACGCACATGATTGACTATTAGTCATTATTGCATGTGTAAGCACTCTCACACCTCGAACCCCCACATTGTTGTGGGGTAGAGATCTTTAACGTGGTTACATCACACATACACGGAACCCACAACTTTGCATCCCTTATTATATAATATTAGCAGTTAAATAAAAATATTAAACATATAATAAAGACTGAGAAACGATAACATAAGCGTATAAATATGACATCATGATTTAAGAATTGAAATTCACAGAAGGGGGAAGAGAATTGTATCTTCAGCTATAATTTTTGTCTATTGATTTCAATGTCCAATAACCAACACAATTAATATATTTTAAATTTTTATGCATGTTTCTCATTTTTCAACGTACTTCACCTTCATTATTCTAAACAATACGACCTCAACACTTTTTTACTTTTTGTGTGAACCTGCTTTATATATGCATTTCAATTTCCTTCAGTGGCGGCTGGTGAAATTTAGGATATCATATCTTGGTATTGGAGCATGGGATTCAAGTGATACTTTAAGGCATAACTATCAAGACTAAATGCATGTTTTATGGAAAAATTGTGATTTAAATTTGCTAAAATAATTTGAAAAAAATTGTGTGCTTACCCAATTTAAAAAGTAAAATTTGTAAAATATTTGCAAAACATTTTTTTTTAAAATCAGGTGGTAAATATAATGACAGATTTCAAATTTTATAAAAAAAATTATTGATTTTTACAAAGTTGTACCTTTTTAAAATTTACACAGGAGGGAAAAATGAATCTAAAATAAAATTTCAAAATGGTGTAAATTTATAAAAAAGCAATATATTTTTTTGACATTTGAAATCTATCAATACATTTTTCACCTGATTCTGAAAAAAAATGTATGCAAATATTTTACAAATTATTTAAATAATAACACAATCTTTTCAGAAATTTCAATTACAATTTTTTTTTCTGCAAAACTTCATTTAGTCTTGGGGTAGTTATGCCTTAAAATATCGCTTAGGTCCCATGCTCCAATATCAAGATATCACATAGCCTAAGTTTCAACAGCCGCACTGGTTTTTTAAGTAAAGGTTGCATAAAAATTCAATTCCTGATAAACTAAGTTTAGGAAAAACTATTCAGCAAATGATTTAATAGTATGGCTACTTTTTCTTATCCATACATACTTTCTAGCGATATTAAATAAATATTGATATTTTTATATATATTTTTCCCTTTTCTTGACATACAATATTTTAATATTATTTGTAATTCTGATAATAAACCGAAACTTAGAAAAAAAAATTTGGTGTATATCTGACTTATATTCCCAAGAAAACGCTTTCAAAAATTATTGTAATTTTTGAAAATGTTTGCTGTTTATTGCCAGCTAATTTTAGCTTACATTTTTAGCAAAAATTTGTGTTACATTGGGAAATATGAAATATCTAAGTCACAACACTGACTGCTAGCAAATTAGTTCTTTCAAGAAGTCGATTAATTAACATATCTGCACATAAAAGCATAAAATGCTGTTCGATAGCACTGGTATTCTAGTCGTTAAATGAAAATCAGGTTCCGTTACAGAATCAAATAAAGAAAGCAACAAGTAATAATATGTTAAATTGTATCTATTTAACAAGTTAAACATACAAATTTTTATCAAAAATAATGCTAGTTCATTAGGAGACATTTCTAGGCATTCTGAATTGCACAACTTGCAATTTGGCTGTTCAATACAAAACATTCCAGTATGTTATTTACATATTAAATAACAGAATAAAAAATTAAGTTTTCAATTACTCTAAATATACATTCTGTAGAAAGTAAAAAACAATAAAAAAAAAACTATTAAAAGTATATGAAAATTTATTAAATTTTAAAATTTCAAAGTACAACTTAAAAAAAAATTTGTCAGAAAATACTGCCCAATATAAATATGTGGTGTTACCACATAAACGGTGTCTAAACCAAGAATCACGATTCACAAAAATAACTTAACATAATTGAACCATTTAAAAGTAATATTTACTTAGGCTTCTTGAGTTTCCATACTTTCATCAGCATCTGCCTCCATATCTTCATCTTCCTCCTCACCTTCTTTTTTCTCTGGAGGATTCTCATATGCCTTATCGAGGGGAGAAACGACAACTCCATCCCAAACGGACATTTCTTTGGCAATTGAGCTATTCCCTTCCAATCCCAGAATATGCTTGTACCCACCATGCGACAGCACTCTCAGCAAAGTTTGAGCTGTCAGGCAGCAAACATCTTGTTGTTCCAAAGTCATGGCAGTGTGAATTCTTAGACTCACACCTTCACATGGATCTGTAATACCTGCAGACCCAGGCAAAAATAGTCCTGCTGACAATAGCTGGAATACTCTGCGGAAGGCAACATTTATTGGTAAGGCTTGACGACTAGGATTGTGCATTATAGCAAAATGTGCTAGCAAGTCTAACATCCATGGTGTGAGAGGTTCAAAACCTTCAAACCTGCTACGTACATCACGCAATAATCGAATAAGGACTTTTATGGACGAATGATGTGCATTTTCTTCAAACCATCTACTATGACGAATTGCAGCTAGGTGGCTCAACATTATTTTTTGGTCCAAATGAATTTCTGGGTCAAGTTTCCTGATGTTGTGGTGGAGAGTAGTGACCATAACCCTTACGCACGCATACAAATTGCTTATTTCAATACCCCTCTCATTTGTTGTATGGGTTAATTGTTCACCCTTAGCAACAACCTCATTTTTCATCAAATTCTTTAAATCTTCCTTGACTTTGTTCCCTAATGCTTCGACTGCTTCCCTGGTGGGTAGAGTTTTGAGAATGACTACTATATCAGCCACATTATGACCCGTCACCATGGTGCCTTTTTTGAATGAGCCAACTTGACGCACCTCATCGAGCTGCTGCAAAAAGTCATATGATAATTTCCAATTTCAATTTGTTAATTTCTTTTTTTCTTATTTATGATAACCAAAAATCTCGCTAAAAACTAAAATAATTGCATTTTGTTTTAAACAAAATGCGTATTTAGTAAGTGAAATTACAGGCAAAAGTGACATTTATTTATTGTAAAAGCCATGGGCGCCGCCAAGGAGGGACACTCTATCCCTCTGGAAATTTACGAAAGGTATCAAGTATCAAGATGAATCACTGGAAATATACCAAGTGTTTTGCTTTCAATTAAACCAACCTATTTTTATTTCCTTCCCCAAGTTTACATAGAAAAAAAGGTAAATCGGACAACATTTGGTAAACACCTTTTTCATACTCAACTCTCACCATAGACTTCAACAGATGACTACCTGGCCTAATAGGCCGGATGACTCAGGCATTCAAGGGTAGTGACAAGTTCAATTGTTTTTAGAAGCTTTTTTTTTATTTTAATACCAAAGATTTGGCATAAATAACGAGGACGGCTCTTTTAAGTTTTTTAGAGTTTATTTTCGTTTTTATACATTATGCCGCAATATAGGGTAAATAAAAAGTATGTCGACTATTGTTTTTTTTTGTTTTTGAAGTTTATTTTTGTTTTATTAACAAGGATTAATGTTAACATTCATTTTTTGTTTTTCAT